TGTGCATCTGATTCCGGGGTGGGGGAGAGCTGGTTGGGGGTAGAGTTTTAAGATCCTGGACATCCCCCCCACCGCCCAGTGGTCCACTCAGACTGGAGTGTACCAGTGAGGTAAAACGGGAGTGAGGGAAGGAGAGGAAGAGGGCAAACAAAGTTAACAATAGCCTTTGATGACCTGGTCCAGCCAGGCCCCCTGCATCCTGCAAAGCCAGCCTGAGCCTCATCTCATGAAGTTGCTTTGTTCAATCCCTCTACTCTACCTGTGGACAAAGGGAACTTCAGAGACTTGTCTTAGCCTAGAGATGATGGGTCCAGATGGCAATGAGGGTGGAACACTGCCTACATCAGGCCTACTGTGCTAGCCCCAACTGAAAGCAGACTGCAAAATCATGGGGGAGGGAGAGGAAAGCACAAAGCCTTTATTTCCCCACACTCCAGTCTTGGCGGCAATGAAGTGAAGAGCAGGAGGAAATAAGAAATACCATTTAGAGAGAGCAGAAACAAGAAATCCTTGATCTCTCTCCTGGCTTCCTAGCCTCTTTCTGGTAAAACGCTAGCAGAGGGCATGGAATTGATTTAATCAGATGCTCTTCTATTGGAAGATGTTTACAACAGCCCTGAACCCAGAAGTGAGGGAGGAAGCATGGCTGGCACGTAATGGGAAGGTGCCCTGGTCCCTCTTCTTTGCTAGGGAGTCAGCTTAAGGCCCATCACACATGTTCAACTTTTGATTTTTTTATGCACCAGCTGGGTCCCCTAACTGCTTTACAGGGTAATGTCTTGTTTCTGCAAGTGGCTTCTGATGCTTTAATACCTTTAGAATCTCCAAAGGGCTGGCATCTTTCATTCGTCCATTCAAATACTTACTGAGTGTATGCTACATGCCAGACACTATTCTAAGGCCAAGCCCATGCTCTCAGTGTGCTTCCCTCCTCGTGCTGGGAGGCAGAAAATGCACAATTTAAGTGACCATATATGTCAGATCTGTACAAGTTCTATGAAGAAAAATCAAGTCAGCTAAGGTGACGGAAGAAATGAGGGTCCTAAGGTGAATGCTTCCTGGAGGAAGGGAATTCTAGGCAGAGGGAACAGTAAGTGCCAAGGCCAGGAGGTAGGAGCCTTCTGGGCAAGGAGCCGGTGGGGCTGGAGCAGAGGGACAGAGAGGGGAGAGGTTGTAAGAGAGGAGGGCAAGGGGATGGGAGGAGTCAGAGCCTGGAGCATCTCAAAAGCCATGGCGATGATTTTGGTTTTAATGAATGAAAAATACTGAAGGGCTTTGAACAGAAGTGACATGACTTGGATTTGGGTTAACAAAAGTCAGATCCTTCTCTATGCTGCTTAAATAACAGCCCAGGAAGGTAGGATGGGTGAAAGCAGAGGCACTGGGCAAGTGTCTCCTGCAGTGGTGCTGATGGGGGAATCTTACAGGTAGAGCTGTCAGGGTCTGGAGATGGACAGGAGCACAGGTATGAGAGATGGAGAGACAAAAGCCCTCTGTGAGGCCCAAGCACCTGCAGGCATGGTCACTGGGATGGGGAAGACCAGGGAGGAAGCAGGGTTATGAAAGAAAACCAAGGTCTCAGTCTTGGTCTTTGTAAGTTTGAGATGCCAGACGTTGGGCTGAATGGACAGCTAGAGGCAAACACCTGGATTCAAAAGAGGACTAGCCTAGGGATATAAGTTGGGAATTCCCAATATACACAGGGTTATCAAAGCCACAGACTGGATGGGATTAACTATGAAATTAAAAGAGGTCTCTTTTAATAAACAACATATTGTATTTACTTGCTGCCAGCATTGTGCAAAGTTCTTTACAGATACTAACTCACTTAATCTTTCTCGCCACCCTCAAGTCAAGCTCTATTATTATCCTCATTTCAATGATGTGCACACCGAGGCACAGAGACTTTTAAGTATCTTGCTCAAGGTTAGTGGGAGAGAGAAGGGGGGTGGGTGGAGAGGAGAAGAGAGGCTGTAGGCTTGAGCTCTGGGTGCTCTGGGATTAGGAGGTGCGGGAGATGAGGAGGAACCAGTTGGAGACCACAAGCAGCAGAAGGCGAGGAGGGAGGAAACCAGGGAGTATGGTGTCCCCAAAGCCAAGTCAATCGAGTGTCCCTGAAAGGGAAGGTAGATCAACCGTGTGGGATGACGCTGATCGGTCAGGAGGTCAGAACTGACCACTGGATAGAAAAGTGACATCCTTACTTTCACTAACCTGGTTTTGAAATTAACTTCCTCCCATTTTGAATGCAGGCAACAAATCCCAGTAGTCTGCACAGTAGCTGAGACTCTGTCACCAACAGAAACCCCACACATTTTCATTGTTGGTGAAGAAGTACTGTTTCTGGCCATCTTTGCTTCCAGAGGACAGTGTTTTCTAGACCTTGCTATTTAACATGTTAATAAAGAAGTACCTATGCTATGAAATCATGCATTTTAAGAATTCTGATCATTCTACTGCAGTAGAATTGTTTTCCCTATGTATGTCCTCCTGCATATTTTATTTTATGCACTGAAAATATTAATCTGAGAAGGGGGTCCATGAGACATGAAAAGATTAAAAATTACCTCAATATTAACTACAAAGGAGCAACCAAAAGCCAATGCAGGTAGAGAAACAGCATTCCTAACCTAGGGCACCAGCATGACACTTAGCCCAGTGTTCAACAATCGAAGGGACCATAGACACTTTGTGGTGACTGTGGCTGGGGTAGGTGAGGCTGTTATCACAGCTCACACTTGCTGAGGATGCCACAAAGGAAGGCGACGTCCATGCATCTGTGAAGCAACTGGAACGTGCCCAGCCAAGGTCCTGGGGGGGGGGGCAATCTGTCTTCTCTCTACAGGGGTTTCACTTGAGGTGGCTCCGCTACTCTCACTCTCCCTCTCCTTTCCTTTCGTCTGCCCTTTGGGCTGCTCTGTGCCAGGCTGACCTGCTGCTTCCCTGTGGCCAGAGCTCTGCTCTTCTTTTATTTTGGAAACAACGGAAGGTCCTCTTTACCCTACCTCTCCCATATCTGGCCACCTGGACACTGTCGGGCAAAACAGAGGAATTAACAGCAGTCACGACTCCCTGCTTTGGCAAAATGAGCAAGAGACCCCAGCACAGAAGCCACAGCCTCATTAGTCAGACAGGTCCCACACAGTAGAATGAGGGCCATCCTGGAGCTTTAGCTCCTAGGGTAGTTAGGAGAGTCAATGAGCTGGCTGCTGTGACGTACTCAGAACAGTGGCGGGCACATGGTAAACACCGTATACATTGTTCAATTAAGACAATCTTGCCTTTTCTCTTTCTTCCCCACTAAAAAAAGCACCAAGTAAAATGCATCTGAAATTTCACGAATTCGTTGTTAACCAACATAGCATTCAAGAATAAGTGACATTAATCTGAAAAACATAGCTATTACGGAATGCTTACAGTCGTTCTTAAATTTGAAAAGAAAAAGATAGAGATGTTAACGACAAGATGGCAGCCCTGCTCACCCAGCCCAGTACCTACTGCAGTCAGATGTCAAGATCGTGATGTGATGGCCACTGATGTACCATCACGTCTTCCAACAAACCTAACATCCCTGGGCCTTATACATGGGGGGAGGGGTACTGCCACTGGTGTCCATCATCTGCAGAGCTTGGGGACTATCTTGCTGTGTTGTGTTCCCTGGATGTGAGAGAAATCAGCCACTAAAGCTCTCTTCTTTGCCCTTTGGCACCAACCGAACTCCAAAATTTATTTTAGCTCAGTAAGGCAAAGGGGAAAGGAAAATCCACTTCCATGGAGTTTGGCACTATTCTGAACATGAGGTGGAGAGTCTTTAATCAAAAATCAAAAATTAGCCATTGGGGTCCAGGGAAATCAGAGAGAATGCCAGGGTGCTGCTGCAAGAAGCTTGGGGACCATCTGATCTACCCCCCAGCATTTTTGTAGAAAAGGGAAAGAAATGGAGGGCACAGGGCATTTCCACAGCTAAGGGGGAATACGGTTCCTCCAGAGACACAGGAGAGTTAAAGCACCACCTTTCAGCTGCAAAATACCTCCTTGTGATTGTCTGCTTTCCCTGCAGTCTAGGGCAGGGAACAAGTTGGGCTGGTTTGAAACTTGCCTGGGCAACCAGCACCACCTGGTTCACCCGCCCTTGCAGGATTCCTGCCTGTCTCATGACTCGTGAGCAAAACCCACTCCGTGAATCTCACCCTCACACTGCACCAGGCTGCCTCAACCCGTATCCTGGGAAAGAGGGGAAAGCTAATAATGAGCCTGGCCTCCAAGGCACCAGGTGTCCATGTCATTTTTTTAGTGATTATATTCTGTTGCCTTTCCTAGCAATGAATTGTAGCATCCAAGAGCCAAGATGAGGTTGGAGTGACCTCCTCCAGCCTACCACCCCCACCCTGACCTCTGCACTCCCATTCTTTCAATAACAACCAGTCCCTTACAACTAACTCAGATCGGGTACAATACGAACACAAAACGTCATGCTTAACAAGCATGGTATATTGCCCCCCACTCTTCTTAGTTATTTACAACCACATCCAAACTCCAACACACTGGGTCACATTTTAGGCTAATGCCCATGATAAGCGCTGGGGTTTTTTTCTGACCTGAGAATGCAAAATGAGTCCATCCTCTTTAGGGCGCCCCTTTAAACCTTCTGGAGACTGACACGGGCTACACTGAATTCTATTTTGCACACGGAGGATCCTGCTGCGTTATTGTTTCCATCACTGTGAGTAGGTGGATACAACAGATAGAGCTTTAGGTTTCCGGGTTCTGGTGCCAGGAGGCATTGAGAGGGTGTAAAGTTCAAGTGCCTTCAAAGTGATTAAAATAAACAGACAACTGGTTCCTAGGCCACTCCTACCTCCTACAGAGAGCTTCATCGGGAGAGGCCACCACACTCCCAGTTCCCAAACTTCTGAGAAGCCACCGAGATGGCAGTCCTCGTAGCTGCTAGGGTCCACTTAGCCCCCATCTGACGCCCGGCACCTGATCGTCTCTGTCACCTGTGGGCTTCGTTGGGTTCCAGTCCATTCTCCAGGCTGACATCTGTCTGCACCATCTCCTGTTTCAGTTCTCCGATCTCCGAGACGATTGTGTCAATGAGCTATTCAAAGACAAAAATAGTGTGACGTCAGGCAGTGGAAGAGGCGTGCCCAGAGCCTGGGGAGCTTCAGCCGCTTCAATAGGAGGACAGAGAAGACCACCTTTTTTTTTTTTTTAAATCCCGGCTGTGTGAATTTCCTTCACCCAGAGGAAAAAAATAAAGAGGGTGGGAGCAGCTTTTTATTAAAAAAAAAGAGGAAGAACTTAGGTTTCGGTACTGCCCTAAGAAAACGGATATGACACCCAGTTTGCTTTCTCAACATGAATACAAAGAGGAATAAACAAATCCTGGTAAAACCAGGCTTCCACATTCATTTTGTCAAAGTCAAAACTCAAGAGGAATTCCCTGAATTAAAATTTATACAATCATTGTTCTGGCTACAGAAATAAGTGTATTTGTTTTTTTAAGATTTCATTTGAGAGAGAGAGAGCACAAGTAGGGGCGGGGTGGCGGGGAGAGGGGCAGAGGAAGAGGGAGAGGGAGAAGCAGACTCCCCACTGAGCAGGGGGCCTGATGCGGGGCTCGATCCCAGGACCCTAAGATCATGACCTGAGCCAAAGGCGGATGTTTAACTGATTGAGCCACCCAGATGCCCCAGAAATAAGAATATTTAAAAGACATACATAGTTTGCAATTTCCAGACATTAAGCTTACTCATACTATTCTTTGCTTTTTATTTATTTTTTTGATAAAGAAGACTGTGTGGGGAAAGGGAAGAGAGAGGGCTGCCCGGGGTGGGGAGTGGGTGAACCACAGGGGGAACGCAGAGGGAGATGTGCCCTCCTCTTGCAGAAGGCTCATGCACACTTGTATCTTCTACCCACACAGCTGGGAAGAGGCTATATCTGCCCCTGAAGGCTGGTCTAAACTCCTGAGCCCACCTAATCACTCATCCAACAGAATCCTTCCTGGTGCTAACTAGGCACTCTATGTGTAGAGCAGCTGTTCTCAAAGTGTGTCACTGCTCCCTAATTTTAAAAAATCATAGTTATTTTTTACATAAGTGTTATTTATGTCATCGTGTAATAGATTTATTATTGTTTCAAAATAAATATTTTTAAAAAATTTCTCCATTTTAATTCCTAATACAGCAAGCATCTCGTAGCTATAATCCACGTGAACACAAGCTCTTTGGGGTCCTCCATAATTTTTAATGGATAAAGGGATCCTAGGGCTATAAAGTTTGAAAATCACTATTCTAGCTGAAGATAAGTGTTGTCTTGCCTCAAGCAGATTTATCCCACTCAGGCGCTGGCAGAAACTTCATCTGAGCTTACAGGCTGTTCTAAACTGTTGACCCCATCTATTCATTCATTAATTCAACAAACCTTTACAGGCACCCACTTCATGCCAGGCGCTACAAGCACGGAATAAGGTGGACAGTTCTCGCAGAGATGATAGTCCAGTGGAGTACAGACCACAGCCCTGAGCGCTGAAAAGTGCCAGGATGAAAACAGAACAGGGTGATGCTGTAGGGGGTAGCTAAGTGGCCACCACTCTAGGTGGGATAGGATGGTGAGGGTGGATCTTTGAGGAAGTGATGGAGCCCTGAACAACAAGGGAGCCATGAAAAGATCAAGGGAAGATACCTCCATACAGAGAAAGTCCCAGAGGCTGGGGAGGCACGTGGCAGGAGAGGCAAGCAGGGACCAGAGCTCGTTGGCACTCTAGATCACAGTACCCATACATTTGAGTTTTCTACACTAAGAACCATCAAAGGGCTTTAGGAGGGGAAGACATTTTCTTTGTTTTTTTTTAATTCTTATGTTAATCCCCATACATTACATCATTAGTTTTAGATGAAGTGTTCCATGATTCATTGTTTGTGCATAACACCCAGTGCTCCATGCAGAATGTGCCCTCCTCAATACCCACCACCAGGCTAACCCATCCTCCCACCCCCCTCCCCTCTAGAGCCCTGTTTGTTTTTCAGAGTCCATCGTCTCTCATGGTTCGTCTACCCCTCTGATTTCCCCCGCTTCATTCTTCCCCTCCCGCTACCTTCTTCTTCTTTTTTTTTTTCTTAACATATATTGCATTATTTGTTTCAGAGGTACAGATCTGAGATTCAACAGTCTTGCACAATTCACAGCGCTTACCAGAGCACATACCCTCCCCAGTGTCTATCACCCAGTCACCCCATCCCTCCCACCCCACCCCCCACTCCAGCAACCCTCAGTTTGTTTCCTGCAATTAAGAATTCCTCATATCAGTGAAATCATATGATACATGTCTTTCTCTTTTTGACTTATTTCACTCAACATAATACCCTCCAGTTCCATCCACGTCGTTGCAGACATTTTCTTTGTTTTATGTTCTAAAAAGATCACTTTGGCTGCTGGCTAGAGATGGTTTGTAAGGGCAAGAGGAGAAAGAGCAAGACCAGTTTGGAGGCAACTGAAGGGATGCAGGCAAGAGTGGTCCAGGTGGCTTGGACCAAGGTGGTAGCAGGGGAATTAGAAAGAAGGGGGGAAATCCGAGAACAATTTAACACAGAAATTGATAGAAGTTGATGGACTTGATATAGGAGCGGTAGGAAGAGAAGCATCAACACAACTCCTAAGTTTTTGACTTGATTATCAAATAAATAGATGGCAGTGCCCTTGACTGAAATGGGGAAGGGTTAGGTTTGAGGAAGAAATCGAACTGGATATTAGATCAGTTACGTCTTGATTTTCTTATTGGCCATCAAATAAATTTGGTAAGTGGTTTTTGACATTCAGTAGGGAGATATTTATACATTTGGAAGTCACTAGCTTATGTGCTGGCATTCCAAAGCCCTGAGACAGGGAGAGAATATCTGAGGGGAAGGTGGACATGGAGAAGGGGTCCCTGCAAATAGCTCTACACACTCCCAATGCTTGGAGGTCAGAAGAACGGAGGCCAGCCAAGTCCTCCATGCTTGATCCATCCCTGTTGTGTGTGCCTGGGATGCAAGCTATAGGCAAACATTCTAGAAGCACTGGGGACCTGGAAGAGAAAATGACCAGGAGATCCCTTTTATATATATCCCACTGGCAAAAACTTAAAAGTCTGACAATATTTGAGAATATGGGGAAACAGGAACCCCAAATGCTGCTAGAGGAGTGTTATTTGTAGAGCTCACTTTGAAGAGCAATTTGGCAATGTCTTACAGAGTCAGAGACACACAGACCTCCTAGATACACACTCTAGAGAAATCCAGGCACATGGGTGCAAGGAGACCTTTATAAGAATATTTCTGCTCCATTATTTGTAAAAAAAAACCCCAAATTATAAGCACTTAAATGTCCATCAGTAAGAGAATGGGTAAACTGAGGTATAGAATACTACATAGCAGTTAAAACTAATGAACCAGAGCTATAGGTATCAAACACATATAAACAGAAATGCTCAAAAACTTCTCATAAAAGCAAAAAAATAAAAAAAAATAAAAAAACAAACTTGAAAAGGGTTACGTCCAGTATATAAAATTGAAAACCATTCAAAACTACAATACTATAGTGTTTATAAATATACACATAGATAGACAACTCCAATGTGTGATATGGGGGTTATCCCATAATAATCTTAGTCCAGGATAGTGGTTACCTCTGGAGGAGAATGGATGAAGATGTTCACAGGTCAAGGGGCTCACCACAATGAGATTTTATTTCTTAAAATGAAATGGCAAAATCATAAGATTTGACAGAGCCGAGAGACACGTGTTTAGCAGTATATGTGATTTTCTGTAGGTTTATTCATAATCAAAATTATTAGGAAAAGAAAAAGGGGTGGATGTGCATGAAAACGGAAGGAGGTGGAAAGACTGAGAAGGTAGGCATGAGTGGGGTGAGCAAGGGCAGTCTGAGTGTCTGTGCTGAAGACCCCCCAATCTGGGCTGGGTCACCCTCCCATTCTGGGCTACGGCTATGGTCCTGGGCAGGAGAGCCACACACAGGAGGGTCACCCACAGCCTCGGGCAAACCTAGGACAAAGAGTTCCCATCCCCAGCAAGGAGACAGGTCACTAGGCACAATCAGCCTGTTCACCCTCAGTCACCCTCACGGCCACCATATTAATGTGAATGTAAACGTAGCCTTCCCCAGGAGAAGCCCTTGATCTTCTCTGGCCAGACTGTTCCTCCTGATACTGGCCTTGCTGACACCTTCAGTAGCGTCTCAAGACCTCCACACGCCACACTTGCTTCCTTCTGTGTACCTAACCAAACACAAAGAACCTAGAAGTTGTGGTTCTCACTCAGCCACACTCAGATGGCAAATCATGAACACCACCATTGATCTGTAATGCAGAAGGGACGTGCAGTGACGCCTAAGACACAGAGGTGGACGAGGATAGAGGCACCCCCCTGCCTGCAAGACTATGAGACCCTTCCCAGCTGGCGGAGGGTCTTGTCGCCCCTCCACCTCTCCTGTCACCATCCATTCTGCCCCAGCCCACCCACCTGAGGGCACAGACTCTCTGAATGATCTGTTGTTATACCCACCAGGCCCCTCCACCCGCCAAAGTCATCCCCAAACATCTGCTCCTCCCTGAGGTCTGCCCCGGTGTCAATGATTGAATTTGAGGTGTTTCCCAAATTTTCCCAGATACATTTGTGTTTGTTTGTATTTTTGATACCTGTAGATGTTTGATCTCATCTTTTATGCTCTTAATACTCTTTATTTTTGAGGCTAAACAGAGATAACCTGCCACCCACAAAGGGACGGGGAGCAATTTTAAGCTAAGCTTTCTCGTGTTTAAGACAACAGCAGTTTCAACCTAAGTGCTTTATCAAAGTTGGTGTCGCAATCGAAATTTCTCCAAATCCACTCACACAACCCAAGACCCCACCACATCCCCGTAGCTGTCTAGAATTCCTATAAGAAAGGGAAGGGGCTGCTTAAGCATCTGCCATGCAAGCACTGCTCTTCACAACCCTATCTGTTGGCCCAGGATGTGTGTGGACACTTGGGAAGACGGTCACGGGACCAAGCGGCTCTTATTCAGAGCAATCGGAGCAAGACAGGACACCAGGGTGC